ATCTTTGCTCAAGTAGAGGGGGAGAATGAAGTTCTTCGGCAAAGCAAGGCTAATAATGCACCTGATGAAGCCCTAATACCATGTGTTCTGTAAGATTACTTGAGTGGAAGAGAGGAGGGCATGGACATACATGTAAATTCAATAAGTCTCGTGTGAAGCTATAGAAACCTGGAATGGTGTCTGCTTGAAGCATTTTCACGTTCAGCAAAGCTGAGCTGATTGATTAAGTGGAGTCAGTAAGCCGTCACGATACGCCGCATCACAACTGAAGGGCGAGGAGTTCATCAAAATCAAGCTGCAGCTCGACCTGACAGTTTCTGGGACACATAAGGGAGCTAAATGTTGACGCATTCCACAGCTCCAGCCAGGGCTAAACGTGAGCATTCACTACCGAGCTCAAGCGCTCCGTACTACGTGGCTACCCTCCCCCAAGCGGACTAGCACCAAAATTTGCCATATGGAACAATAGCCCTATGGAGGGCTCACGAGGAAAAGGGTGCCAAAAATAAGTGAATAGGGGGCAGAAAATGACCTAGACTCAATTTCAGATTTGGAAAGGAAAGGTACAGCGAAGAGTGTAAGGACTCCAGAGCCAAGAACTACTATAACAACAGACGTGAATGACTACAGGAAAAGACAAGGTGCTAGAAGGGACAAGCACCGGTACGACAGCCAGCAGATAGGGGTAGATAGTGCAGTGGTAGGTATCGAAATGGTATAAAAAGCCAGGAACACGAAAATGAGTATGATCTGAACTTCCTTCTAATGGGAAAAGAATAAGAACGCAAACGAGACTTACCCCGATCCATCCGAAGCGCTCCCCGGTCTCGATGATGGTACGTTGAGAAATCGTGCCGCCAATACCGATTATGATCAGCCATCCCATAATGCCGGCCGTAGAGAATATCACTTCCTGAACACCGTTTAAATTAGATTGTAGTCTCACCAACTCATATAAAGCAATTTTGGTTTGCAGCTGGAAGTAAGGCTTTAATATGAGCTTTAGCCTCTTAGAACTGAGCGTTAAACATGTGTCGAGTGGTTAAACTGATAGTGAAAATCGATTTTAGGGAATTCGGGTTCAAACTGCTAGATATTTGGAAGTGGAGCGGCAAAAACAGCAGACTTCACTCTCTATTTCTCAGAAGAAGATAGGCAGCTATTCTTCCACCACAAGTCTTGGCTCTGAAAGGTATCCAGGGAAATATATGGAAGGTAGGGGTTGCACACCTAAGGGCAAAACTATTTTGAATTTAATTTAATCACGATTTATGAATTAAAGCAAAATTTTACTTTTTTCCCAATTCTACTGAACAAATGTATGCGAAGCCAACCCAAATCAATTTCTACTTCATCATTGCCTCTAAAACTGATACAATGGAGACTGTTGAAAATCCTTTATCAAAGTTCCTCCACATGAAGCCTCCTCTTCTGATTGCTCGTTCCAAAGCTCTTTTACCAAGGTTCTGGTCGGTTCTTCGATCACTTGGCCTTTACAATTTATATCCGTAATCGCCTCTGCTGGAAAGCCGTTCACTTCTTGCGGTAATCGCTTTTCGAAAATAATAATTGGTTTCAGCACATCGATTTCGCCTTCGCGGGCACGGTGATCGCAACGCTGCACAGACTACACCAGGGCACATAATTGGTTGCGAGATTTTAGTCGAATCTGTACGACCCCATCCTCTTTTGGAGTCGTACACCTCCCCCAGCCTCGTGGGTCACTCACCGAATCGATGGACATCGAGTCGTTCGAGTTGGGCGTGGTGGGCGGGGGGCTAACGTAGCACATGTTGAAACAATTAAGAGCATGAGTGACAATACGACCCCCCCCGTGGTACAAACGTCCATGAAGCGAGAAAATCAACTATCAAAATAAATTCTTCCCAACCCAAATACGACCCCTCCCTATTGGGGATTCCCCAACAACGATGTGCCCTGGCTTACACTCCTTATCCCTGAGACGGAGTAGGCGTGGCATTTGAAATGGCATAGGAATGGTTACTCGTGGGATATTTCATTTGAGACAACTGTCATCTTGTTCAGTGTTGGACAAAGACATGACCACAACTTGTGTCAAAATGAAAATATCTCACCAGAAGCACAGCCACCGTCACGTTTAGTTGAAGTACGCAGCCACGCCAATTCTGGGATTTCGACTGTATCTTCGGGACTTTCGGACACCTAGGAAAGAGTTCTTCAAAACGCGATATTTGCCATGTTCTCCAATGGCCGAAGAACTCAGAACTCATAGAAACAGATAGAGCAAGAAAAATCACCATTGCGAGAGTTAATTTTTCTCGAACGCAACGTTACTCTTACTCACAGATAGAGAGCAGTTCGTCAGCGGTGTCTCTTCTCCTCGCTTGGCCAGCAAGAAGTACATGATGACGGAGACGATGCAATAGAGAAGGGTGAGCGCTGAGACGATGTAGATGAGCACGATCTCATAGTTCACAGAGATATACGCTGTCACGTACGTCGGATCGAGCAGAATCAGCACGACAATCGTCAAGAGCTAAAAAAAGTAATCATCAGTGGTCGTGGTAAAAAAGGAGGTGGAAGTGATAATATGGATTTTTTCAGATTCTCTTCGGTACTGACTCGATTCCAAAATCAGCTCAGTTCACACCGTTTTCTCAAGGCACCTCAAAAAGGGCCATTCCTACCACTGCGCCTTCCTCACAAACGAGTCTCTCTTCTTACTAGATTAAAGAAAAGGGGG